GGTTGCTTCCCATCCCCCCCCCCACCCGCCTTGCTCAATTTTTCCCCAGGCTCCTTTTCTGCTCCTTCCCTGCCCCGTGGCCAGCTCTCTGCTAGTGTATTGTTTGGAGCAAAACAGTATTAAGTTTGTGGGTATTTATTTTTTGTAGCCATTTAGCTATGCTTTGTGTATGTCTATGTCAATGGTTAGAGGTGGTATTGGTAAACGTGAAGGTGACCCTTTTGTTTCTAGAAAATACTCTTGTGGTTATGATCTGAACTGTCACCTTGTTGGTTAAGAGAGCCAATCCCTATTTGTTTTAGTCTGCTTATTTTAGTTCGCTTTAAAAACAAACAAACAAACAAAAAAAAAATTCAGTTCAGCAGAGTCCTAATAGGTTAGAGTTAGATTCTACTTGCTCATTAATGTAATTGAGACATATGTGCAATCCCATGGAGGACAGTGTGAGTTGGATCGGTGTCACTGATAGGGTGACCATATGGGACAATGTGAAATCCAGGAAACTCAGAGGTGGGGGCATGGCTGCTCAGTGCAGCTCTGTTGTTACTATTTAGGCAGCTAAGGGAGTCGATGGCTTTTTAATGACTAGTTGTTCTCACATTTATAGGTAACAATAGTCTTTCTTTACTGGTCATTCCACTGATTAAGCTAACCTATTTCAGGGAAGTTCTGCTGTCTGCTAGGATTTCCTATGTCACAGTTTGTGCTGCTCTGCCTCCCCACCCTGGTTGGGTCCTGGATGCTCATTCAAATTTTCACTAGCCAGCTGGGACTCGCCTCCAAAGCTTGGCCAAACTGGGTCATTGTACTGATAGACTAAGATGATCTGCAGCCCTTCTTAGAGTTGAAATATTTCTTGGGACATATCACATTTGTTAGAGGAACTTTATTCTAACCCTGACTGTTCTCGTGTTTGTATTCACGTACTATCCAAAACCACTGTGTTTTTTACTTGGTGCAAAGGAGGTCTTTGGCTTGGAATGGAAAGGGTTTTGCATTTTGAGCACAAGATACAGGGTATACAGCATATATCTCTGAAAACATCATGTTTGTAAGTGATAGCCTGGGCACTAGGAAGCATTTATTTTAAACATTGCTTTTGGAATCAGTGGTGTGCAGGTCTTGATTTTTGTTTTGGAAGTCATTGTAAGGATGTATTATGATGAAATCTCACAGAAATGCTGGTTGACCTTCTTAAGTTCTTTAAGCTTCTCTTTAAATTGAGAATCTTGCCGAGCATATCTAAGAAGTGCTGACTTGAATGCTTCAAAAAAAATTCTTTAGCTATTTGATTAATCAGTAAACTTAAAAGTTTCACCTCTGGGAGACAAGTTTGGATTTGGCTTCAGCTGCTAGGGGAAAGTACAATATCTGGCTTTAAAAACAAGTGAAGAGTGATCATTATCTGTTTAGTTCAGGAGAAGAACAGCTTCTCGAAGGAGATGAGCTAGGAATAAAATGGAGTGAAATGGGTCAGAATTGGGGTCCCTAAATGGTAGAAACTGTAACCAGGTCTTGCCATGATTTATAGTCAGTAATATTGTTAAAGCACCTAGAACTATAACTTGGAGCTCTCTTACCTTTCTAAAAAAAATCAAAAGATGTCTCAAAACACTATTTTGTATGTCATTTGTTAGGACAATAAATCATGGCTGCTAAGTCTTGAGCTTTGTGAGTTTTTTGGCTTCCTGTTAACATTGAATACGTATGTCTAAAAACATTCCTAATTTAAAAAAAATGAATTGGATGAATCTATACAGTGCTGGATTGTAATTTGTAACACTTATGCACCTTTTAAAGATGTATTTTTAAAACTTTACTTGAACACTTAAATTCAGTGAGTCAGAATTCAAACCATTCGCAAATGCATTTATAAATGTGACATACGACTTAAATGATAACAACAAAGAAAAATCCCTTCTTCCACAGAAGCTTTAAGGTAGTAGGGAAAAATCATTGTAGTGTAAATAAGATTTTTTTCATGGCATCAGTTGTACTTCAGGCACTCCTTTTGTTAATAAATTACTGCAATACAAAGCATGGTAACAGCATGTTGGCAAGACAGGGAGCATATTTGAAAAATAAGGTATGTTCCTCTTAATTGGGTTCACTGTAGAAGTATGAGCAATGTTCAGCCTCCTTAAAATGTCAGTCATGGCCTTCTGCAGTTACAGTATAACAAAACATCAGAAGCTTTTACTGAGAGACAATACCGGATGATTTTTCACAAATTTAAAGATAAAAAACTTCATGATACAAGATTCAGACTGAAACAAGGAATGAACCAGAATGTGAGAGGTACTGCATTTGAATGGCTATTAGAAGAATGTTGAATGTGGATGATTTCCTTCCCCTCCCCCAATACTGTTCTTTTCCTTAGATTTGCAGTTTGTAAGAAATGCATAAATGTCAGGATGGCTCTACAACATTAGGGGTTTTTATGCTATTTAAAAAAAATTCCTTACAGTAACTTAAATTGATTAGAAACGTATTGAAAATTAGGATTTGATACATTCTTTATATTTTTCCATGTTACCTAAAACAATGTAAGAGCTGCTTTACACAGTTAGAAATTCATGTATATGACAACATTATAAACATAACTAGTATTTAATACAAAGACCCTATTTCAAATGGAGGGAATTAATTGAGACCAGCTGGAATAAATTACTGTACTTAAAGGTCATTATCTGTTTTTATCATTTGTCTAAAGTGATAAACCATTTTCATTTTTTTTCTCATTTCTTTTAACAGTTTGTGTAACAAACTCCTCGATAGAATATGAGGATTTAACGAATAATGCTTCCAAAATGATTCACTTTTTTCTGTTACAAAATGTTTTGTTTGTCTCTCACCTAATAGGTGAAGTATTATAGACACTTGGCACCTGATCACTTGCTTCAGATATGCCATCGACTAGGACCACTTCTAGAGCAAGAAATTCCTCAAAGCGTCCCTGGAGTGCAAACACTGCTAGGAGCTGGAAGACAGTCTTTGCTTCGCACAAACAAAAGTATGAAAATCTTATAGGAGCAGAAATCATGAAAAGTCTCTTACACTATTGTGTGGTTGTTTTTTCCTTTTACATTTTTTGTCTAATTTGTTCTGAAATAGGTTGCAAACATGTTGTGTGGAAAGGATCTGCTTTGGCTGCATTACACTGTGGAAGGCCTCCTGAGTCACCAATAAACTATGGCAGCCCACCCAGTATAGGTAAGTCAGTATCATTATTACACTGATAATGCTTGCGTGTGCAGTTTTCATGCCTTCCTTTCTTTTTTATTTGTATAACATCATTTTAATAGCACTGAGGTTGTATTTACTTTTGTGCATTGTACACACTGAGTTTAGCATTACTTCTTTTAGGATGGTCAGTTACTTTGTTTATTAGTTTGAAACATGGCAGGATGTACACTGCATGTCCCAAGGTATACGTCGTGTTTTAAAGCTTGATGTTCTTAACTTTTACTTTTTTGAGGCATGAGCTTTGTAATGCTTCATTTAAAGAAAAAATAAGTGAGAATATGCAAGTAGCATTTGGTTGGCTAATAACAGTGTTTTCCAAGAAGTTGTAAAGCTGTTAATGAACCAGTTTCTTCTGTTATGACTGGTTGAATATGGGGTGTGGGGGGCTCTGCTTCCACTACTGAAAAATCCAGTAGCAGTTTTATGGAGTTATCTGCAAAGAGACTGGGTAATTTGGATCGTTCCAACAGGGAATACTGTTTCGTTCTATTTGACCTATTTCTTAGTTTTATCTTAGTATAGCATGGAGCATGTGTGTGTTCCCTGGCCTGCAAAAAGGCAGAGAATGGGAGTCAGGAGAAGTGAGTAGGGTTTTTTTGGTTCTGCCATAGCTACCTTGAAACATTTCTCAGTGAAAGATCTGAGTGAAAGGTTCATTAGCCATTAGCTTTGTTCTAGCCTTTAATTTTGAAGAAATTCAGGATTATGTGTGTGTATGACTTATATAATTCCCTACAATCTGATATGTGCATATGTATGTATGAGATTGGAAGGAATTATGTTTCATAAATGCTTACACATATGTAATATCTCCACCCTCCTCAGTCTAGTGTGTGTATGTATGTATGTATGTGTGATATCTGGAAGGGTGAGTTTAAATCTCCTTCTGTTCCAGAAAGGACAGTAAAAGTGAGCAGAAGCTTTCATTTTCCACAAGGACACAGTAACTTAGTGAAAGTAGTAGTATTAGGAATTAATAGAACATACCAGCACGTCTTTGCTTAAAACCAAGTTGAAATGTTCTTGTTCTGTAGTTCTTTAGTGGCTTGTTCTTGCTCTGTTTTTAAGTTCTCCTGTAAAACTGGCAATGTCAACGTAAGTGCCTTTTTTTCATCATTGATTTTTTTTTTCCCCCCCCCCTTCTCCACATTACATTAATACGGATGTAATTGGGAAGATTTAAATGTTTAATGTTCATATTTTAAAGCAAACTAAAATGAAATACATGAAAATAAAATTGCATCTCTTTGCATTTGGTAAATCTCCTCCAGTTGGCAACTACATTTTCTTGTATTTCAAGCCCTTAGGTTATGAGTTAGTTATGTTTTCCCTGTTACTTCAGTATTGCCAGTTTGATAGACTTGGGTCTGTCTGTCTGTATTGTAGAGAAGAATAGTACTAAAAGGGAAGGAAGAGCATTTCTTCTGCACTTGAATCTCCAGTTGGCAACTGTTCTCTTGTGTTTTAAGATCCAGGCATTACAGTTAAAAAGCAATTCGTTTTAAAGAATTCTGAATGTAGATGTATGTACTCAGACAAGGTTCTTTAGGTAAATCTGATATCTTTTATTAGACCAACTGAAATAGTAGGAAAAGTTCTTCTTTGCAAGCTTCAGAATAGAGGGAGTTTTGTCAGAATAGAGAGAGTGGATTGTGAAAACTTGAATTGCAATTTAAGCAATTGTTGACTACTTGCCAACTTCCTCAGTCGTTGATATGATTTTACTATTAAGATATGTTTGTAAAAATGGCATTTGACATTCTGTTAGTCTTCCAGCAACTTCAATATCAAATCTGATTGGTATATGAATGAAGAGTCTGTGTTTCTGATTTTTGGACTTGCAAAGCCAGTGGGAAAATCTGAGAACCTTTTGGTTCCGTGCCCCGCCAAAAGTAAAGGCTGCTTGCAGATGTGAAAAAAACCCAAAAACAAAACAGCGTCTTACTTTAAACTTGGTGTGCTTCAGTGCTGAGCCCAGTGCATGCCCAGAAAAAGCAGCATGCTAGTTGGACCTGGCTTGCCCAATTTATGTATAGATTGGGTGCTTTACTGGGGCTTTTTGGCGCTTTTATCTAATCACTGATTGATGAATCCGCTTTAGCTAAAAGCATCAAAAGCCCTGCTGAAGCACCTGATCTATACAGCTGCTGTGGATCTTGGTCAAAGTAACGTGCTGCTGCTGGTAAAGCATATTTTGTGTGTTTTGGTGTTTTTTTTTTTTTCCCCTTTCACATTCATCAGTGCCTGAAGATTCCACTTTGTTCTCCTGTGGTGTTTTTGACTGTGTAGGACAGGGATCAGCAATGTTTTTGGGCAGAGTGCCAAAAACACCAGCAACCTTGACTTGTAACGTTGGTATGCCAGGGTAGGTGGTGGGGGAGACACGAGGGGCCCAGTCTTTGTAGCAGTGCAGACCTGGCCCCTTCCCTGCCATCCGCCCAGAGGCACATATGCCAAGCAGAATGCCTTTAGGTGCCACACTGGCACCCATGCCAGGGCTTGCCTGCACCCTGGTGTAGGACTAAAAAGAGCAAAAGGAGTTAAATTTATTTCTTAGTCTGCAATTTTTCCTTTAAAAATAATCTACAAACTGGATTGTATTATGTATAGTCTCAACATAAACTGCAAATTCTTACCTGATTAGCAAGACTGGCTTGTGTTTCCCAATAGGTCAGCTGCTTTATTTATTCTTTTTGATCTCATTTTAAGACCATATAGAATATTTCTATGAATCAGAGGGCTATGTTTGGGATCTATGCAGAGGCTATTGATGTTTCAAGCAAACTGATTTTACTGGGAGATGAAAATAGAGATTTATGAAAGTACATCTTGAATTGCCCTTAGTCCAAGTGAATTCAAAAGATGTATTTTTAAATGTACAGGCTGATGTCTGTTATCAGATGGTTCAAGATAAGCAGTCCTGTGCAGAAAGTGCAAGCTATCTCAAATTTTTCTCTGCAGTATTGAGTAGGACAGACAGTCCTCTTGCAAAAGTATCTGCAGCAAACATGTATGTGGTGATGGACAAGATTAAGAAGCTTGTCACTGGGAAGCAAAGGGGTGGGCAGAGCTATATATTAAATTTAAAGAGGGTAAAAAGAGAAAATATGCAATTTTTTTTCTTTCCTATACATAATGTGTTAATTGAAGGATGGATAGTCATTACCTGATGCCTCATGGGAGGGAATATTTGAGTTCTTGTCAGGCTTTATAAGAATGGATAAATTTATTTTTCATATATTTAGTTGAGAATACCAGGTGAAAAGCTTGTGTAATATAGCTTGTTCTTTTGTGATCTCAGTTCTTGGATCAAGAGGTTGTGTGTGTTGTTACATTTTGGCCTGGTCATACATGGGTGTAGAGGCACCTGAAGCACCCGTATCCATTTTGGGTTGATTCCTTCTCCCCTCCCCCCCAGTCTGCTTGGGAACATTTGACTTGTCTACTTTACTTTATTGTCTTCTGGAAATGAAAACTGCTTGTTACTTGAAGTATCATAGGTTGGGGTGAGGGGCATTGTTTTTGTGTGTTATCTCAATAGTTATGCAATCAGCTCCATAAATGCTAGTCTCTCAGGGTAGATATGAAGTAAATCGCTGGTCAGGAAGCCTTGATTTTAATCACTGCTTTCTACAAAAAGTGTGTTCTTGTTGTTTGATGCCCTTTATTCATTTAACTTCTTGAAACTTTGCACTTTTAGAGAGAGCTTAGGGCTTGACTGTGTGTACACAAACTTGCAGAGAGCCAATAGGACTGATGGGTGGGGAATCGGGTCTGGTATCCCTCATCTCCATATGCTGTGGTTAACAAGGATGTTATCTCCGGAAACAACAAACTCTCCCTATGCCTGAAGAAGGGCGTTTGTGCCCGAAAGTTTTGCAAAGAACAATTTTTCCAATTACTTAGTTCAGGGGTGGGCAAAATGCAGCTATTCTGTCTTGTCCGCAGGGCTCCTAAATAATTTAGAAAATTAATATCTGTCTGTCCCTGGCTGCCTGTCATGCGGCCCTTGATGGTTTGCCAAAACTCAGTAAGCAGCCCTCTGCCCAGAATAATTGCCTGCCGCTGATTCAGTAGGTCTAATAGAAGTTATCACATCTATCCAAATAACTTGGGGTCATCTCCTATGGGCTCTGGAAATACAAACTCACAGTATGAGAACTGAAACTAAGCATCACAGATGCTTAATGGGATCTTCTAGACTGAGAACTGAGTCCCATTGGGTAGAGTGGTTTTCTTTAATCTTTGCTAACCTGTAGAGGAACCTCTGGGAAACCCATGAGATTGGGCCTCTAATATAGTCCTTGGCCTGTTGTGACCTATTTATAAAACTTCTAAAAAGATTACACAAGCCTATTGTCACAAATAGTGTGTAATTAGAAGTTATAATCCCTATTCCATGGCTATATCTTGGAGCTTTAACATATAACTATCTTTATAGGGTTTTTTTAAAACCATCTTAACAAAAAAAGCTAAAATATGATTAAATAAAAAAATCCACTCAAAATAAAATCCAATTTTGTTTTAATTGTTGATTTTCTTTATTCACCTTGTAGTCTCTAAAGTTTTGAGCTGTCAAATATAAAGTCCTCTGTGTGGCATTTTGGAGGACTGAACTTCTAATAGTTTAGTGGTAGAGTATTAAGATTTTAGTTAATGGTTACTATCCTCCTGGCAAGTATTTAGGAGAAGTCTAGACAGATGGGGGAGATGTAGAATTTAACTGTAATCCTTACTTTGTTGCATTACTGGGCCTTTTAAACTGGGAAACAAAAATGGTTTATAAAGTCAATTGCAGTACTGACTTTAAACAGCACTTCAAAATTGGTTTGCAGAGTGGATCCTTTTGATAAAAACTGAATGTGATGAGAGCGCCAACAAGGTTCCTGTAAGGCTTAATTTTAAAAAATACTTTTAGCAGAAGATAGCTACTCTTAAAGCACCAGACAGGCTTCTAGGATTAAAAC